CAAGGGTTGAGATCCCCTTACCGGTCATCTTTTTTTTAAAAAAAAAAAAAGAAAGAAAGAAATTAATTGTCATGTTTTTTGGGAAACACAGTTTGAGTTTAGGCTAAGTGTTAAGAAACTGAGTTACTGTCACCCCTTGGGGTGTTTGAAAGACATGAAACTAAGAGTTGCAACCATCATTACAACTTTTTAAAGATCTGTAATTAAAATGACAGTCTCTTTAGATAGCAAATTCAGTATTGTATTTTCTTTCGTATGTCCCCTTATGGGAATCCTTTCCTTTTCTCATCCATAATTTCCTCTGTTCTTTTTCTCCCAATCTGTACCTCACCAGTAGTACTCCGAGCAGTCTCTGAGACCGCCAGCTGAGCTCCACTGGAGCAGGCACACTCAGAAAGCTCTGGACGGATAGTAAAATCAGCAGCATATGCATGGGACTCATTCATTCATTCATTGCTTCCCAAGCATTCGTAGAGCACCCACTGGGACCCCACACTGGACGAGTAACAAAGATGAAAAATCAAAGTCTGCTTCCAGGAACTTAGGGTCTAGGGCTGGGCCCGCTGCCTGCCCTCGCGGCCGTTTCTGCAGACTCCGGGGCGCGAGCCAGGGCTGCAGACCTTACAGTCAGTCCAGACAGCCTCAGGCTCTCCCTGCCTGGACAGCCCGACTCTGCTCCGTCCTGCCGGGCCCAAGGACCGTCCCCCCGCCCCGCACCTGATGGCACCTGAAGATACTGCGTAGCCGAGCCCCCCCTGCGCCTGCCCAGCGAGGGCCCGAGACCCGGGGCGGAGCTCATGGGGAAGGTTCTCGGCCGGAGTCTGTGCTCCAGTCGGGCGTCAGGAGCCCTCCCCGGGGGCCGAGTCGCTGTCGCCCGCGGTCCGGAATTGCGCAGGCTGCCGGGAGCGGGGCGGTCCTCCGAGAGCGGGGCCTGCGCGCTCCAGCCCCTCTCCAGCCCGGCGCGACTCTCAGGGTCCCGCAGGGCATCCAGGATCGTCTCCTGCTCTTGCACACGCTCCGCTCGGCGCCCACAGCGCCACCCGCAGGCCGGAGGAGCCAAGAGCCTCCCGAGACGTCGCGCTGCCCTATGCATCCTGAAACCGACTCCGATCTCCCTGGATCTCTGCACGCGGAGAACTGCAATTGTTGCAGACTCTCCATAGCTCTGACCCCTTCCTCCTTTGGGGGTTACAAAGGATTGGGTCTGCAATTGATCGGTATATAAGTCAGGGAATTGGATCATGTGCAAGGTTGCCTTTTTCTGCCTCAATTTTTGCTACTCCAAACTGCCACTCTTCAAAATGAAGTTGTGTCGTTGCACAGCTGATTCACTACTCCATCCACCTCTCCACCACTAACCTACTCACCATGGTGGTTTTCAACGCTTCAGGAAATATTTGGACTACGTTGAGCTCAGAACAATTCCTCCAGCTTCCTCCTACGAGGAACTGGGGGATGGGGGAGGGGGCAGGGTGTGATAAAAAATTCCTCATCCTGCAGTGAAATGATATTTTAAGCATCTCCTTTATAAATACTGGAGGTGGTACTGGCCGCAGGAAAATTTAACAATATTCAGATTGGAATGGTTCCGATTCATTCTTTTCACATCCCAACTGAACTTTCACGAAGAAAGCCAGTTATTACCAACTGGCCTACTTGTGTGCTTTCATTGGTCCTTATCCCATTATCTCTTTGTAACTAGTGACCATTTCCTCATTCTGAAACTCCCTTGACACCATGCATTGTGCTTCTCTGACTACTTCGTCCCACACTCTTATTTTGAGTGTTACCACAAGGGGCGTTCATATCACTGCCTTGGTTGCTACCACTGTAGTTGTCAGGATTCCCTAGTACTAGGAATCTTCATTGCCTCCCAATATTCGTTTGTTTCTATTTGCTTCTGTTGCTTATAACAGAATACCTGGAACTGGGTAATTTATAAAGAAACAAAATTTATTTCTTACAATTTTGGAGGCTGGGAAGTCCAAAGTCAAGGGAACACATCTAGTGAGGGCCTTCTCCTTGGTGGGAACTCTCTACAGGGTCCCATGGAGATTGGGGTGTGACATGGTGAGAATGGACTGAACAAGAGAGCTAATCTTACTTGCTGTCCTTATAAAGTCATCGGACCATGCCCATTACTCCATGAATGGATGAAACCATTCACAAGGGCACAGTCCTCACAATCTAATCACCTTTTAATGCTCCCAACTTTCAAATACCATAATTGGATTTCCCACATTCTTAAACTTTACAATGGGAGTCAAGTTTCCAATACATGAACTTTTGGGGGGCACATTCAACCCATAGCACTCCCAAAGGGCCCTCGAGCCACTTAATGTGAAGATTTCTTTTAAAAGACTTGGGAGGAGTTGGAGGATTCAATCAGGCAGTTCTAATCTAAGAAAAAGTTTGTTGCTATGCAGGGATCATGCTGAAAGATTCCATTAGATCTTTCAAATGGGATAGATGCTGTAGCAGATAGAACTATGTCCCCCAAAACTCACTGAAG